TGACTCTATGTTAGTGACCCGTCCGTCTTCGAGAGTCGCGATGCATCGGCAACTATCAGCGACCATTGGCGATATTCGCGATGCGTCGGCGACAGTCGTCTAAATAGACATGTTGACACCACAGCCAATTGACGTACTTTTTAAAACTGTCAAAACGAAACTCTCCCACAGATTTTGTATGGCACTACAAGCAAGTGACGTCACTATTTTGTCAACCCAATTACACTACTTTTTTCAATTACAATTCGAACAAAAATCGAAATTTACAGGTAATTTAAAATAAGTTAGGTTTTAAGACCAGAATGAAGAGTCTTTTTAAAACAGTAGTGGTTTCGAATTATTGGGGTATGGTGTCAAACTGTCTATTGACCAGCGTTGCTAGTTTTTTTTTTTCGCCAAGTCGGGACTTTGGTACTTTTTGAGTGAAAATAGCGGGATTCTTCCGTCAAAAGCGGGACATAATAAAAAAACGTATACAATCAAAGGTTTTCAAATATTCATCTTTTTATTTGACTTAAAATTACGTTTACGTGACAATAGATAGCAAAAGTAGCCATAGAAAATGTATTTTAACAAAAAAATAATATTTTAAATCAGATTTACTGTATCGTTAAATTCGTCTTTAGAATAAAAAAAGAAAAAATAAACCAAAATCGAAATAAAAAAAAAATTCTTTAGAATAATATGGCGTTTCAAACAATAGTCTGGTGAAGTGAGTGTCTCTCTCCGAAAAGCGGGACCGAGCCTGTCCCGCGCGGGACATATACATTTTATTTAAAAATCGGGACGTCCCGCCAAAATCGGGACGTCTGGCAACGCTGCTATTGACTATCTGTCGTCGGCGACTGTCGCCGGCTTAAGTCGCAAGCTGTCGCCGATATACTGTAGCTCGTCTGTGTGCTCCCATTGGCTCAGGTGTGAATAAGACCAGAAAGCATCTCATTCTAATAGTTTAACATACCAATCAGTGTGAGATTGCAGTAGCGACCGCAGCCTGCTTTTCTCATACAATCGTGCGATTTCCAATTTCGCGTACGTGTTACAAACGAATCTCTCTCCACTCTACAGAAATATTCCTTTGACATAGTCACAGAGTTGTAAATAACGATTCCTTATAACGAGTGACGATTTGCAACTTAAGATAGTTACATAGTTTAGTAAATAAGACCTAGAACTGAAGAAGCGACAGCAAAAGATTTATATGCTTTCACATGGTGATGGTTCAGCACAATCCATTATATTGACGTGTCACTGTGTGGCACGAAAACAAGTGATAAATCCAGAGTTTGTGGCGTCTTTACGAGGCCGAGGTAAAGAGGGAGATACCACATACAGGGTGTTAGGTAAATGGGTATAATAATATGAGCCGACACTAGCCCATGTTACCATGGGCATATAAATGGTATGGTGCAGTCAGAAAATTGATATCTTCATTTTAAGTATTTTAATTTTCATACAAATCGGATTTTATAAAATTTATTTTGTACCTGTATGTTGCTCTTCAGCCAAATAAACAGGCGTGCGAAATAAAACGAAAAAGCTTTGCACGGTGATAATAATATGAGTGCCTGAAAGTTTCAGGCACTCATATTATTATCACCGTTAGGTCATTTATTCAGTGCCCATTGCAATTTGCAGGAGCTTTCATACCTACATTATTTAATTTAAAATCACTAAAACAGTCTCAATAAGATGCACCTGATGTCTTGCCCTGCGTGCCCAAGCAACTGCACTTAGGAGGATTTGATGAGTGCTGCTGACAACGCCACTCTTGTGGCGGAGTTTTGGGCTGACACTGTGTAGGTTTGTTGTCGACACCAAAAGAAGAAGTCTCAATAAGATAGGATCAGATGTTTCTATGTTTGGAGCGAAGCCCTTCCGTCAGACACCGACAAAAGTATCCGCAAATTTTATCTGATGTACGTGACTACGTTTCCAACACTCCAGTGACGTAATACGAAGATGACGTCACTCTACCCATCCTCCTTACTAACAAAACAAAAACGTCAAAAAAGCGAAAAACAAATATGTAATTACAATAAAAAGATGTTGGTGGACGTTTAGCTTTTTTTACGTACTTTTATTACGTATTATTATTTCCTAACTCTAACTTATGGAAGGGATTGTGCCACTACCATGCACTTGCTTCCAAAGCATTCCAAATTTCCCAACTGCCCCCCTCTCGCGTGCTGCATAGCATGTAACGATCACGAGTGTTTCGGCCGGACGGGTCACGCGATCGTAAAGGCCCTTACATTTAATTCAATTTAGCCCGCGCTCGACCTATATCGTCTAATTGGTATGCACTATTTTGCAAGATTGGTCTTAAAAGTAAATCAGCGTACTGTTCGTTTTGCTTTGAGTATTTTTCCATTGCTGGTGTTTAGATTTGATTAAACAATCATTTGAATTGTGGTATCAGGATCGATGTCAGGGGTTTCCCGGTGAGTCAAGGAGTTTTTTATAACGTGAGAGCCCCATGTCGGTCGATAGAGGTTACATTCTGTGCGCAATCCGCGATGTTTACGATTTTAGTAAGAGACGCGAGCCAGTGCATCCTTAAGCCCTACTAGGCAACTCCGCAGTTTTAAAGAGATCCAAAATTCCATATATATTTTAATGGAGGAAATACCCAATGGAGTATAAAATCGAATTTTAAGCTCCAACTTCCCGAAATCTACGCTTTACCTTTAACCCTTTATACGACAGTGGGAATATAGTTCCCACCATATTGTTAGGTCTAAAAACAATGAAAAATTTTAACTTGTTATGCCCGTCAACCTAACATGTGTGTCACTAGCCGACAAACAACAATATGTAGCCGACTTTAACCGGCAATTTGCTTTATTTACCCGCATGCAGATCAAATAAAGATTGGTAAGACCGACCAGGCACGCAACGCTGATAACGCGCGACGTAAGTTCAAGTTTATCGTCGGCGTTACGTTATGTTGTGTCGTAATCGTGAGGGGCTACTTTGTAACGATGTCCGTATTTTTACGTGTATTTTAACCACCTCAGAGCGAACAATAGCGACGGACAAAGACGAAAATACGAAAAGCTTCTCTCAAGTGAGTTGTTACTTCCCGAGACGTATTTTTTGCGGATAAAGGTAGCAGGAAAACGCTGGATGCAGGCCGCTACCTTTGTGGAAATTATTAGGGGAGGCCTATGTTCATCAATGGACGTCCTATGGCTGAAATGATTCTGATGATGATAATGATTTTTTGCGCTGACCCGATATCTAGTTGGTATTGTTGATCGAAGACGAAAAGTGTCTTGTTTAGAAGGCAACCGGCTCAGACTTAAATCTATGCGAGTTCCCATCTCTCGTTCCCACTCTCACCTTTAAACTCCTGAACTAGGTACAGCTTGACCGTCAATAAAAATATTACATCTATAGCCACGATTTAAGGCCACGATAGCCGAACGGTGAAGGGGTCGGACTGGCCGACTCGTAATCCGGGGCACGCGGGTTCGGTCCCCGCCGCCGCTCGACTATTGTGGTGAGCTCACTCGTGATACAAGCATATTTAGCTTAGTACGAGGGGCTAACGGGACTATTAGTAATTTGTGCAATAACAAATTACTAATAATCTTTTAAAAAAAAAAAAAATTGCGAATGTTTGATTTTCTAGTTAACAAATATTAAAAACAACATTTGTCATTTTTAAAAACGAGTGTAAAATATATTTTTTCTAAAACATCGGTCCCAATAAAATCCAACTGTTGACGATCAAGTAACATTCATCGGGGTTAAAAAATAACTCGATAAAAACATTTAGTGCAAATCCATTCGAAAGCAATAAGCCGATCGTTAAATTGAAACTGAGAAAAAGATTTACGTGAATCCGCATCCAGCGAGCATCCCAACTAATATTATAAATGCGAAAGTAACTCTGTCTGTCTGTCTGTCTGTCTGTCTGTCTGTCTGTCTGTTACGCTTTCCCGCTTAAACCTCGCAACCGATTTTGATGAAATTTGGCATAGAGACAGTTTGAGTCCCAGGAAAGAACATAGGATAGTTTTTATCCCGGTTTTTGAAACAGGGACGCGCGCGATAAAGTTTTTCTGTGACAGACAAAATTCCACGCAGGCGAAGCCGCGGGCGGAAAGCTAGTTCATCATAATGTTTGATATTAACGCCGCTGTATTTTTGTAATCAAAGCAAACTTATCTGAAGGTTGCCATGAATGCTGCTTGATTGATGCGTAATCAACAGAAAGATATGCTGACGAAAATAATCACAAAGAAGCACTCGCATTGCTTAAAGATATTTACAGCTTGGATGGAATACAAAAATGGAACGCATAAAGAAAAATATAGTTTTAAGAGAAAAGAATGCAAATGTCGTTAAAGAAACAAACTCTAAAGATCCAGCTAAGGTAGAAGACATGCAATCAATTAGCATCGATGATAAACGATTTTGAAATATAGATGTTACTATGCGTTTAACTGACTATCTAAATTCGAAGCAGAATCAAGATCGGGCGATCAAGTGACTGATGATAATGTATCACGTTTTGAGGATTCTTGAATACTAATCCCTGATGCTGCTATCATATCTGAAGACAAAGTAAAATTCGATCGTACAGTAGATATGGCACGTAATTTCGCTACGTGAAATGATAGCGAATCCAAATTCACGATCTGATTCAAACTCAAATCATGTTTTTTGAATGTCACTTTGTAAATACCAATTAACGGCATATAAGAAAAGAAGCAGAGTGAGATGTTCACCCACAATGTGAACCGACAACATCATAAAGGTAGCAGGAAGGTGCTGGACGCAGGCCGCTACCAACCGGGAAACATGGAAAGCATTGGGGGAGGCCTATGTTCAGCAGTGGACGTCCTATGGCTGAGATGATGATGATGAAGAAAAAAAAAAAGAGGAAGCGAAGCGAAGTTCAAATGCCCACCAAAATTAAATGGCAGTGCACAGCTTAAGCTTAACCGTGCAAAGTTAGTAGGTAGAAGAATATAAAAAGTCATTCTTACGGCATGTTTCTTGGCGATCTGCATCACCGTCTTCCACGTGACCTCGTTGAGCAGCTTCGTCTGCGTGATGAACATCTTCTCCTTGGACGCGACCAGGCTGGCCATGCAGTGGTAGCACTCCTCCTCTGCAATGGAGAGTCTATGGTTATTATAACAGATACCGATTCGGGGTGGACTGGCACGATAAGAATGTCAAAGGAATCCTAGAAATAAATCGTTTCGTAATTACAAAAGATTATACTCGTAGTATTAATGCAATTATACAATGACAATATTGACTATTTAAGTTTATCGACATCGTAAAAGGTATTTTCATTGCTAATAAAACAAATACTGTGACTTAACAATGAATTGAAAGCAAAACAGATGCACGAGTAGTAATGGAGTAAAATAGACATTAAAAGTAAACCATTTAGTACGAAAGGAGTAAAATTGACATTCATTTAAAAACCATTTACGTAGATATTATATCAGTTTTGTATGGAAATGGATTAAAGAATTTCCATCAATAAAAATGGTCTGCTTATTGTTTGTACCTATGTAATGAGTGTGACTGCTACAAAATGTTTAGTCACATGTGCTGAAAAGAAAAAAAATCTGAAGATTTAAGACATGTCGGAATATTCCCCTCTGTTCAATGGGTACATCCTCGACAGTAAACAAACACGTTGACATCCAGAAGCGAGATCTTCGCTAGGGGGCGAATCAATCACGCGTACTGAGGAGCAATTTGCCTGCTAACCCACACACGGGCTCCCGGGGGAACCGGAGATGTGAGATCAATTACTGCTGTACATTGTGTTGTAATTGCACATATAAATCAGGAGCTTCCGATGGGATTGGCAAGTCAAAATACAGCGCGTTTAGTGAAATTGTGAAATTCCATAGGTTTATATACGCATTTCGGCGAGACGCACCTCGTCACAATCCGGGAAAGGAAATCCTTGGGGCCTTTGTCTAGCACTGGACGTTTTTTGGCTGAAACGAAGCCATGTAGGTAGAAGTAAAAAACGTTGAATATAAAATACAGGAAGGTATTAAAAGAAAATATGTGACAAGCGGTGACTGGTACTGTGACTGCATCGATTAATAGACGAAATAATAATTCTTGAGACGGGTGCTTGGCCTGGTGAATCGCTTACCGGACTTGACCTACTGTGGTTTCAGTACGAAGGGTACAAATGTCAGCGAGACCATTAAGCATTTAAACCAGGAGTCAAACACCAAAGAGGAAAGGGAAAGTCTATCGATATTAGTAATTCTTTAAGTAAACAATGAAAATTACCAGGCCTAGAATCTTTTTATTTTATTTTATTTTATTCTTCATAATTATACCCTTTTCGTTAACGGTACTAATTACGAAACACCTGTTCATTTTAATAAAAGAAGTAATTGGGTCAGTGAAACCGTGAAGCAAGGCATTTACACAGGTGTGAAAACTCATATGTTAACGAAGTATGTGCTGTGTACAAACACGGCAATTATTATGTTATGAGTGTTATGTTAGGCTGTTGTCCCGGAGTAGACGTCTTTTGGTTGAAAATAACGAATGGATGATTGGGAAACATACTCGTACAATTAGTATTGTTAAAACTTCGGAGTACTTCTTTTATAATGCGAACAGCTAGGGACTAAAAAACTTGCCTGCTGCTGTCTTTCCCGAATACTCTCTTAAAAAGGCCAATAATCCGGGTCTTTTTAAGGCGAGAGTGAATAAGCACTTACAGTGCAGATATGTACCATCCTAGACAGCATCTTACTTAACATCTTTAGTTATAATTGCGGTCAAATACCTGCCTTGTTCTGCATAAAAAAGAGACCCCCGAATTTGAACTTCTTTTTCCCTCGAGTGTTCGTTAATTCTGGCAAATCCTCGCTTTAGATTTATTTTACAAGGATTTCAGAATACTTTTTATGTAATTTGTAAAAACCCAGTCCAACTTTAAGTGCTCACGTTCAAATATTAAAAGCATTTCCTTGGAACTTATGGTACATTTCTGTCTGAAATATAGCGATGTACACTTAACGCCTCGGAGCTTTCACATTAGTCCAATATCCGGCGCTTTAATAACGTTACGGGGTCCTGCGGGAGCGGGACGCCTGGGGCCCGACTAAGTGATTCGTTCCCGACTCTAGGATAGGGTTGGCAGTTGTGCCTATTTTCAATCTTAAAATTTTAATTAACAAGTCCGAGAGGACTTTCGTTCACTACTTAGGGTGTATTCGACCAAACAAGAGTAAATATTAATCTCAGAATAAACTTGTAATTTTGACATATTTCCCATACTGAAACTGTCAATGTACCAGTTATACGAGGAGTTATTCTCGTATAAAAGTTTGGTCGAATCGGGCCTCAGTCGGATTTAATAGTGACCAAGATGAAAACATGGTGAAAATGAGTAATGGGCTCATAATCAAATTAATCAAGTTTCTTGGATGTCACTTAAAAAATTAAATGGAAAGTAAATTCTATATTTTCACAAAATCAAATGGTAAGAATTAAGACGATGAAGTTAATTGAATTGAGTCCTATACATTGGCTAGAAGTACTCCTTGATATGCTGCCTGCCTATGCTTTTAGACTACAATCACTATGAGAGTGCTTACGCTACACTGTGCCAATAGGAATAGGACACACTCAATGTCTTGAATCACGTCCTTATAAGGATTTCCTTCTCTCGAGCGTTCATTAGCGAGATCCTGTGAGACGCAACAAATCCCAAACTAAGTGATTAGTTGCAAGAAACATGAGCCTAGTTCGTTTCAGCTAGAAATAATTAAACTTCATTTCGTCCGTTTCAGCTAGAAATAATTAAACTTCATTTCATTCGTTTCAGTCGGAAGACGCCCACTGCTGGACAAAGGCCTCCCCCAAGGTTTTACAAAAAGACCGGTCCTGCGCCGCCCGCATCCAGGCACCTCCCGAGATCTTCACCAGATCGTCGGTCCACCACTAGGTGGTCCCACTAGGGAGGCCTGCCCACACTACGTCTTCTATTGACTGATAACTTTACATTACATAACATTACATTTATTTTTTATTTTATTTATATTTCATGCACATAATAACTGTACAGTTGCGGACTTAATGCCAAGTGGCATTCTCTACCAGTCAACCATAGGTCATGCTGAGAAAGTAATGCGGTGCAAAGTTTACTAAAGTTCTGGAGCTTTAGAACCACTTTACAAGTTTCATCCCACTTTTCACATCACCCAACCCTAGAAGATCACGGGTGTCAAAGGAAATTGAATCTTGGCACAGAAAATTAAAGTACATAACTTATTGGAAACTTGGCGGAGTTAGCTGAGCGGATAAGTGAACCCACCCGAGAGACGTTTGCAAAGAAAATAAGCGCTTGACCTTAATCTATACTTAATTATATTATAAATGCGAAAGTAACTCTGTCTGTCTGTCGTCTCTCTTTCACGCCTAAACCATTGAACATTGAAAAATTGATGAAATTTGGCATAGAGATAGTTAGAGTCCCGGGAAAGGACATAGGATAGTTTTTATCCCGGTTTTTGAAACAGGGACGCGGGCGATAAAGTTTTTCTGTGACAGACAAAAACGTCGCAAACATTTGTTTAGGCAAACGTGTTTTCAACTTTAGGACATTTGTTCTGAGGTCTGACTAGCTCACCCTTTATTTGCTCACTCAATGTCAGAGTTCAAGATCAAAACGTTAAAGGGCTTTGTGTACTATAAAGAGGCCCCGGCCGGTGATTCAATGGGCTATAATTATAATGCGAAAGGGTTGAGCCCTTCATATCCTATTCAATTAAACACGCAAATCTTAATAGGGTTATGTTTTAGTTGTCAAAGATTCGGGAAATAGTGCGTCGTATATGTAAATAAATAATACGACTTACTTGATGGTAAGGTACATTTTTATCGCTAATACATTTTATGGTGAAATTTTGTTTCATGCACACCAACAACCCACATCATTCTTTAATTGGCTAGCAGTTGTACCTACTAGCAGAGCCGTATCGTACAGAAAAACAGACACCCATAAAATATTAATCTACAAAGTACAGTATAAATTCAACTTCCCAGGCCTTTCAATTCAAACATTGTAATATCATCCTCGCTTACTATATTCATATTTAAATGACCCCAGGTTGTCTGACTCATGTTTGCTTAGTGGACAAATCGTAAAATCAACTTAGCTTCTCGTACTCGTACATACACGGCACATCAAGGTAAAAACTATGGCATCTAATACCGTTGTGTTAGGGGTGATTTTGCAACAAACATGTATATTTTGATGTGCTATCTATATGAATAGAAGAGTATTCAAATGTGGAGCAGCTCTACATTGGCACATGGCATAAAGAACAGCCTCCTCATGGTCAACACAGTAAGTATGAGAGAGTCATTCATTTCTCTTCATTCGACCTTTTCTCCGGTTTCGAGTCGTAGAAATTAACGACTTCAGACACTCTTGGCAACTTGAAGAAAGGAATGCGAAGGTACCTTGTAGAAGCAGATTTCAGAAATTGAGAAGTAGCTTTTCATTATCCTATCACACAATGAGAGCCAAGACAAGGAGGATGAAGCAAAATTTTTACCATAAGTGTTGAATTGTTGATATTTTATGATTAACTAGCGGCCGCCTGCTACTTTATTTATTTATTTAAACTTTTATGCCAAAATAAATTTGTACATAAGGCGAACTTAATGCACTAAAGCATTCTCGACCAGTTTACCTTTGGGTTGAGCAGAAAAGAAATTTGTTTGGCGGTACTTCTAGTGCAGGAAAGAAATACAAAAACAAATAATAATATGCTACATACATAAATAATATATAAAATATATAATAAATAAATACATGCATAAAATAGATGATTGAGTTAAACTGAGATTACAATTCATGAAGATGAAATCATTTGGACTTTGTACGCGTGGATCCCGTTTAAGCCCCTTTGGGGTGGAGTTTCGTAAAATCCTTTCTTAGTGGATGCCTACGTCATAACATCTACCTGCATGCCAAATTTCAACCCGATCCGTCCAGTGGTTTGGGCTGTGCGTTGATAGACCACTATGTCAGTCCGTAAGTCAGTCACCTTAGACTCTAAGGTGACTGACTGACGGACTGACATAGGACTCTAAGGCTTAGAGTTT